ACAATGTAGATTAAGCAATATATTAGTAGATGTATGATAATTATCGAGGAACAATATAGATTAAAAAACAATATATTCGTTTTCTTTTCTCACCCATGACAAATGTTTTTTAGGTAACATTCTAAAATTCTAATACCTAAATTAAAAGAAAAATATGACTATATGGGTACAAAGTATTAGAAGTCTGGAATACTATACAAATAATTAATTTGGATTAAAAATAAAAAGAAAAAATACCTTGGGCCTAAACAATTGATCGGTGATCGTAATTCGTAAGAAGCCAATAATCAAGATGTCGTCGTCGTGGAGCCCTGCCTGGTCGCCATCCTCGTGCGTCATGTCCGTGTCTCCGGTAGTATAGCTCTTCGCGGCGGCGCGTCTCGCCAGCTCCACGTGTGTAAGGCGCATATCGCGAACTCATGATCAAAGTGTGCTATGTGCATCGTGACTCCTCGCCTCCTCTCTACCCGAGAGTCGTGGAGAAAGAAAACTAGAAAATAAATATTGATGTTGTCTTTTTGGGCCGTCTAGCCAGTTCTATGTCACTCTTTTTATTAGTTTGCTAATGCCTAATGAACTATAGTACCTGTGAGTTTGTATACCTGGGCTTAGGCCCCTCCTCCACTTGAATCCTCGGCCGTCGCACCTCCTGACCTACCCCTAGGGCCGGCACTGGGTCACAGGCAGGTTCCTGATCCATCAAAACCGTGCAAATCGATCCACAAAACCGTGTTAGTGCAAGAACCTTAGATTTAAACGCCAATTACGCGATACAGCAGAGCTGCACAGTACAAGTACGTCGTGTGTGGCACACCAATTTCATGAGATTATATACGGCCTTGTTTATTTCCTCTCTAATCTATCCTATTAAATATTTGGACACATATATAGAGTATTAAATATATATATATATATATATATATATATATATATATATATATATATATATATATAAAATAACTAATTGCTATGTTTACGACTAATTTGCGTGACGAATCTTTTAAGCCTAATTATTCCAAGATTTGACAACATAGTGCTGCAGTACACACATATGCTAGTGATGGATTAATTAGGCTTAATAAATTCATCTCATGGATTACTGACGGATTCTGTAATTTATTTTTTTACTAGTGTCGGTGTTTCGAGTTACCAACGAGTAAATTTGTATTTACGCGTCTGGCACGGATGGTGTGCTTAGAGGACACGAGGTTTATACTGGTTCCGACATAAAGTCTCTACGTCCAGTTATCGCTCCTACTCGTGTTACTAGCACTGAAAGTTTATAGTAGGGGTTACAAACAGGTAAGAGAGAGAAATGACCCCAAGTCTCTGGTGAAAGGAATGAACGGATGCTGAGAGCTTGATCGTTGCTCAGTCGTGTGCTCGTGTGGTGCTCTTGTTTTTATCTCGTGGTTCGGTCTTGTGCCGATCTAGATCCCCATGCCCCTGGTAGGGGCGCTCTGCTTTTTCTTTTATAGATGAAGGGAAAGCGTGGGTTACAGCGGAGAGGAGAAGAACCAGAGGGAGAAGAAGGCTTCCAGGATCGCCGGGTCCTTCTTCTCCTTCATGTGGGTCCCACCGACCCTGTAGATGTCAACACGGACGGCTCCACGTCGCGGCCCTGTTTCGTCACTAGTGCCGTACGCAGACGTCATCTGCCGGTCATATGGCGTCCTACTCCGTCCTGGCGGACGTCGCGGTGAACCCACGACCTTTTGTCGGCGTTTCAGACGAGGTTAAGCGAATAAGCACGCACGCACGCCCGACGTTGTTCTTGATGTGAATCCTCAGGTATGACTCGTCATGGCCACGGGTTACATTGAGTCGTGCACGTCTCTTCCATGGTGTTAGATTTTTGATCTAGGCCCATACGCTTGGACTTGGAGTGGTTGGCGGTGGTATGACTCCCCATCGGACGAGACGGAGCCCGCGACCCTTGGGGGTCGGGTGAGACGGAGCACGCACCCAGGGGTCGAGCGAGACGGAGCATGAACCCGAGGGGTCGGGCGAGACGGAGCCCACGACCGTGAGGTCGGGTGAGACGGAGCCCGCGACCCTGAGGTCCGATGAGGCGGAGCCCGACCTAGAAGTCGGGCGAGGCGGGGCCCAAACCTAGAGGTGGGGTAAGGTGGAGTCCGCCTCAGAGGTCGGGCGAGGTGGAGCCCGCGCACCTGGGGGTAGTTGGAGTTTAGTTGCGCTCTTGACTGCTCGGATGAATCATGTTGATGACCATTAGCTCCTCCTCTTTGGGTACCCTAGTATTGGTCCCCGACAGTAGCCCTCGAGCCTACGGAGGAGTAGAATACTTCTTCGGAGGCTTTTTCGAACGGGAGGAATTTGAGGCCTTTGGCCTTCTTTTGTCGCGCCACGGCGTGTCCTGGGGACGGCGATTCCCTTTCGTCGTGATCGGACCCCTCGGGGGTATAGACATGAGATTTGGTGGGTCGAAAAAGGTCTTTCTTGATTTTGACCCCTATGGGGTTCTTTCATTTCTGCGATCACGCGTTCGGATCTTCTTACGAGTCCAACTTTCCTCGAGCCCCCGCCCGTAGTAGAGGGGCTGGTCGAGGGTCGGCCCGTCTTTGTGATCGTCACCCCGTTCGTGGTTTTCGCAACCGGAGGGTTTGAGTTAACGTCACTTGCCTTGATGGCTCTATTGTCGCGCTCGGTGAGCTCGCTAACGGGCATGTTTGAGTAGAATCTAGGTCCGTCGTTCGTAACAGGGTCGGCATAGCCCTCATGTGACATTCCATTGCTCCTTAACCCACCCTCCGTCAGATGCCCGAGTTGTTTCAAAGATCGACTCAGGTGGCCCGCTGGCCTCTCCTCGATGGAGATTCTATGGGCATGGCTTGAGGTCGTTCCTGGGGTAGCCTCTCCCTCGTGGATGCTTTCGACGTATCCCTCGGGGTTACCTACCATGAAACATTTACAAGAAGGGTGATGGCTCCTCCTACTGAAGTCAGAGTCGGAGGGCGACCCCGATCTCTTGCGAGAAGGTTGTGGAAAGATTCCATGACATATTCGGTCATCCCCATAAACTCATCGTTCGCGAGGGATGAAGGCGTGCGTTGCGCCACAAGGTGGCAAACGGTCTCTGCGACGTTGCGGAGACCGGACTGGAGCGCTATCGGGGCGTTCTGGATAAGGTATTCGGGGAAGCGGCTCTCCTCCGGCAAGCTGCATCATGACGTTGGCGAACGAGAAGGTGAGGTGGCGCAGGTCCTCCCGGGATGGTCGGGGTCCCAAGAAGGCACCGAGGTGGCGCTCTAGCCTCCCGTAATCGAAGCCAAGGAGCTGGTCGCTCCCGGGATCCGGGCCTCCGGTGCATGCAGCTGTATCTCCTCAAGCGCCTCGGCGATCGTGTCGAGGCCGGTGAAGTGGAGAGGTTGGACGACGGCGGGAGCCTACGCCAACTCTCCTTGCGTCGTAATGATGAAGTCCAGGTTACCAAAGCGCACGTGCGCGCTCGGGATCCAGCTGACGCCGTGACTAGTCATCCGAGAACTAATGTGGACGTCGAGATGCGTAAAAAGCCCCTACCTGATGCGCCAACTATCGGTGTTTTGAGTTATCAATGAGTAAATTTGTATTTGTGCGTCTGGCTCGAATTGTGTGCTTAGAGAACACGAGGTTTATACTGATTCGGACAGAAAGTCTCTACATCCAGTTCATCGCTGCTGCTCGTGTTACTAGCATTAAAAGTTTATAGTAGGGGTTACAAACCAGAGAGAGAGAGAAATGATCCCAAGTCTCTGGTGAAAGGAATGAACGGGTGCTAAGAGCTCGATCGCTGTTCAGCCATGTGCTCATGTCGTGCTCTTGTTTTTATCTCGTGGTTCGGTCTTGTGCCGATCTGGATCCCCATGCCCCTGGTAGGGGCGTCCTGCTTTTTTTTTTATAGGTGAAGGGAAAGCGCGGGTTACAGCGGAAGAAAAGGAGAAGAACTATAGGGAGAAGAAGCTTCCATGATCACCGGGTTCTTCTTCTCCTTCATGCGGGTCCCGTCGACCATGTAGATATCAACAAGGATGGCTTCACGTCACGACCCTGTTCGTCACTGGCGCCGTACGTAGGCGTCATCTGCCGGTCATGGCGTCCCACTCCGTCCTGGCGGACATCGCGGTGAACTAACGCACCGGTCTGCGTTCGTACGAGGGTTAGGCAGAACAGCACCGGCACGCCCGACGCTGTTCTTGATGTGAATCCTCTGGTATGGCCCGTCATGGCCATGGGTTACATCGAGTCGTGCCTGTCTCTTTCCTGGTGTCAGAGTTTTGATCCAGGGCCATACGTTTGGACCTGGAGTGGTTGGTGGCGGTATGGGTCCCCATCGGACGAGACGGAGCCCGCGACCCTTGGGGGTCGGACGAAACGGAGCATGCACCTAGGGGTTGTGCGAGACGGAGCACGAACCCAAGGGATCGGGCGAGACAGAGCCTGTGACCCTGAGGTCGGGTGAGGCGGAGCCCCCGACCCATAGGGCGGGTGAGGCGGCCCCCCCGACCCAGAGGTGGGGTGAGGCGGAGCCCGCCCCCAGAGATCGGGCCAGGCGGAGCCCGCACACCTGGAGTTCGGTCGAAGCTGTAGTCGCGGTCTTAACTGCTCGGATGAATCATGTTGATGATCATTAGCTCTCCTCTTCGGGTATCCTAGTATTAGTTCCCGATAATTAATATCGGAACACCCTATACAATACCTTCATGTGTCAACCGATGTGATACCTAAAACTTTCCGTACTTCGATTAAACAAGCCCTATATATCTATAAAAAATACTCCTATATGCCACGTCGTTCCACGTAGTTCTTGTCGCCGCAGGAAAAAGGCCCTAAATAAAAAAAGAAAGAAAAGAAAAAGAGCAAGAAGGAGCAAAGCCATAAAACTGCCAGAGCTGTCGGAAGCGGCGTCAGGGAGACGCACACGCCGGCGCGCACCTAGAGAAAGGCAGACTGGGAGAGAGAGGAACCGAGAGACCCCCCTGCGTAGCTTGATCTCCGCGATGGAGGCGGCGCTAGTGGAGCGGCTGGAGGCGGCGGTGGCGCGGCTGGAGGCCGCCGTGGCCTCCGGCGCCTCGCTCGCGGCGGCGGCGCCGCGGGACCTCGACGCTCCGGATGCCCCGTCGGATCCGGTCATCGTGGCCTACGACGAGTTCGTCGCGGAGGCCGTCGGGCGGCTCACGGCCGCGGCGGAGAAGATCGGCGGGAAGGTGCTTGACGCCACCAAAGTGCTCGCCGAGGCATTTGCTGTCGCCAAGGACCTGCTCGTACAGGCCAAGCAGCTCCAGGTACCTGACGGACACGGTTTCATCCTCACTCGATCTGGTCGATTTGCGTGTGCTCCGCGCGTAGATCTCCTTGTGTTTTGCCAATCCGATGCGTCGTATCGCGGGGAAATGACTCGCTGAGCTCATAATTTGGGACATGTAGTAAACGTCAGATTTTGTTCATCAAGAGTAGTGCGCTTGCTAAGATCATTCTGCTGAATTGGTTTCTCTAGCAGCAATTTGGCTCCAGGATTGTTTTCCTGTATGTTACGAGGTGTGTAGGCATTGGTGGATCTAACTAAGCAATGCTTGTTGTTACATCACTGAGCATTTCCCCCTCTTTTATGCTGTGCAGAAACCAGCATCAATGGCTGATGCACAGGGCTTCTTTAAGCCCCTCAGTGATGTTATTGCAAAAGCAACTGCAATGACCGAAGGAAGGAGACCAGACTATTTCAACCATTTAAAGAGTGTTGCTGACAGTCTCCCAGCTTTGGCTTGGGTGGCATTCTTAGGAAAGGACTGTGGTTAGTAAAGTCGTCCCCCTGTTTTTAATCCTGTCAAACATACACAAGATATGCCACTCATTTTGTTTTACCCCCATCCTCTTTGCAAGGCATGAGTTTCCCAACAGCACATGTAGAGGAAAGCTGGCAGATGGCTGAGTTCTATAATAACAAGGTATGCTTCTCCTATGACCATTTTGTACTTTGTGCTCTACTTATATGTTGATCATCTATGCATATAGTTCACATTAGACGCACAATTTTTCAAAGCTTTATCACACTTATTTAAGATGTGTTCATCTTAGATGAGAGGGATATAGTGAGAAGATAAGCAATGCACTTCAGCATATTTTGTTACTAGGGATTATACTGTTACTATTACCAACTAATCTTGATGCAGCTTTTGTTACATACTCCCAAATGGCAGTCTGTTTATGTAACTAGAATTCAAAGATAACCAAGTAGATAAAATCCATGATCCCTTTTTGGAGAAAATGCGTATTTGGCCATTTGCTACTTTCTGTTTTTTCTTTAAATGGCATACCGACAAATTTTTTTTGGCCTGCTTCCAGTACAAACATTTAGTCAGAAACGACACCGCACAACAAGCAACACATGAACATGTTGTAGCTAGTATCACTTGGTACATCATGGAAAAACATTTTCATAATGTATTTATTTTCATTATAGGAATTGATTTATTTTAGGATGGAGGGAGTAAACTATAGGTATTCTTTTCAGTGAGTGAACTTATATGTAAGAATGAGCTGGCCATTCTTATCTCTGCAACCTAATCCATTCTAGCTGGCCATTCTTATCTCTACAACCTAATTCCATTCTATCTCCGAGCTCAAATTCTGGTGTATTCGTTAGGGAACGGAAGGAGCACATCATAGAACCGTAACAGTAAATATGCCACTTTCAAAACCCAGGAAAACACAATTGCTCCTCCATTAGTATTTTCATAAATTTGTTAATATTGTTTATATGAAAATTTATCTTACTAATTTTTTCTTTCCTTTCATAAAAACTTTATTATAAATACAACTCTGAAAACACCCTTACTCCTCCATTATTATGTTTGGAGTCACAATACCGACTGTATGAAGGCTTCTCTTTAGAAATGCTTAAATAAAAGCATGTTTTTATTTGTATATTACGTATATGGGTATAAATTTAGATAGTAGTGGTCAAAGTTATGTCTTGAAGGTTACAAAAAGTCAGTATAACTATCACCAAATAAGAATGGAGGAGCTGAAAAATAACTGTATCCTTCTTAACGTGCAACTCTAGAACATATTTGTTTAGACTTAATTGCTCTTGTATGCTTTGCTTGCTGATTAATTTACTGTGATGCACTAAGATGGTCTTAGTAATTCAAACTTTTGTTCTACTGTGAAGCAATTGCATCTTCACAAGTTGTGGTTGATGAAGCATATACTTCATTTTTTTCTTGCTCATAGGTTCTTGTGGAGTACAGAAACAAAGACCCAGATCATGTTGAGTGGGCTAAAGCATTGAAGGATCTATACATGCCTGGTTTGCGGGATTATGTTAAAAAGCATTACCCTCTTGGTCCTGTCTGGGGTCCTGCTGGAGGTGCTGTTGTTTCCCAACCAAAGGCTGCTGCTCCCACACCTAAAGCTCCAGCGGTTAAGGCCCCCCCTCCACCAGCTCCTCCTGCCGCGCCTCTTTTTAGCACAGAGAAGTCTCCAAAATCTTCAAAGCCTAAAGAAGGGATGTCTGCTGTCTTCCAAGAGATTAGTTCAAAACCTGTGACTGCAGGTATATGGAAACACTTGTTAGGATATGATGATTTCCTCTCCCAGACCTGAGGAACAGACATATTAAACCACATTATTGCTGTGCAGGGTTGCGAAAGGTTACTGATGATATGAAGACTAAAAACCGTGCTGATAGAAGCGGTGTTGTCAGCAGCACTGCTACTACTCCTGCTGCCGCTCCTGAAAAGACTTCTCGTGCGGGGTCCTTCTCTTTCAAATCTGGACCCCCCAAACTGGAACTTCAGATGGGACGCAAGTGAGTTTACCTGCAGTTTTTAAAACTGACACACCATCTAGTATGCTATCAAAGAAACTGGAGCTGTTGGTCGGCTGGTCCGCTGGTATATCTTGGGCTTAATGATTGGTAACCTGTAACAATGCCAACCATGCTGAATGTTTGGCTAACCTAATAGTTTTGGGTTTCTGTAGCTAGCTGGCACAAATGTGACCAAAAGAGGACTTTGGCCTCTGCACAACAGGAATCAGGATGGGAAGCTAAAATTAAGCTGTTGGTTCTTTTTTCCAGAATTAAGATTATTAAGGGTGCCTGAACCGTGACTAGGGGCTCTTGGTGGGTTTCAACTCTAGCCTACCCCAACTTGCTTGGGACTGACAGGCTGTTGAAGATTATTACGGGTTATGTAGGTAGAGTAGACATAGCTCACTTTGCGTTCTTTTAACCTCATACGGCTTCCATTTGCATCACACATCCTGCCAACCCAACGCCATCTAATCGACTAATCTCATCTCAAGCATCCCTCACTTGCATTTCCTGATTGTGTGCTGAGTTTGAACCAAATGGGTTTATCTCATTCCACAAGCTTGGGCTTTTGCATTCAATCAATCACAGGTTACCTGTCCACCACATGCTAGACATGTGGCAGTTGTGTATCTTATAATCTTCTAGAATGATTATGTCATTTTTAAATATTTAAATGTTAACAATGATATAACGGTGGCATAGAACTCTGCTATAGACACAACAGTACACCACTCCATTTTAACTTCTGTCATGCTTGATCAAACTATGTACTGACATGTTCCCAAATGATGTCCACGTGTTAATATGTCCCATCCCTTGTGATTGATGGCAGATGGGTGGTTGAGAATCAGGTTGGCAAGAAGACCCTTGCTATTGATGATTGTGATTCCAGACAATCTGTCTATGTGTATGGATGCAAGGATTCTGTCCTTCAAGTAAACGGTAATGTATCTTAGTTTGAATGTATACCTTTCTCTCTTTTGGTAACAAAAATCTTATAAACTTTTACAGGCAAGGTTAACAATATCACTGTTGACAAATGCACTAAATTTGGAATCGTTTTCAAGGTTAGTTTAAATTGTTCGAGGCCAAGAGGTCCTCACCTATTTTGTCGTATCATCCTGGCAACAAGTATTTTAGCTACTATATATTTCAGGATGTTGTAGCAGCTTTTGAGGTTGTCAACTGCAATGGCGTTGAGGTCCAATGTCAGGTATTTTATTTTATGTGTATGTATATTTATATTTTCTTTTTCATTGTTTGGCATCTTTTCTCGCATTGTTTCCTATGGATCTGGTCTTTTATCCTTTATAAGCAGATGTCTAGTCAGTCCATTGTATGTGAAGTGTTTGATTTGATTGTTGACCTGTTTATAATCTTTATTAAAGTAGCTCCTTGAAGTATGGTGTGATGACTTCCTTATTTTAATTATTAATTCTTCAAACCAGAGCACCCAAATGCCTTCATAATCTTGATTATAATTTTGTTCTGTTTTCTTTTGAATTTGTTATGTTTACAAATTTCAAGACTTTGAAATTTTCCAGAGTTTTATAATTCTCTTTGATATAACTGACATATACTAAGAAGGTCACTATTTGAATGTACATTTTGTTACATTTTAAAATTTGTATTTTGGTCAAAAGACTGAACTCCTTGTCTTTTTTCTCTCAGGGTACGGCACCGACAATATCAATTGACAACACATCTGGATGTCAATTATACTTAAGCAAAGATTCGCTGGGAGCTTCAATTACTTCTGCTAAATCTAGTGAAATCAATGTGATGGTTCCAAGTGGTGGCACTGACGGTGATTGGGTAAGATCTGCACCTTACATTTGTACTTTCGGATGTATAAGAAAACTTAATGTAGTAACAAATGGTTGAAAGAAAAGAATTTTGGCAACATGTTACATTTTGCAGAGCTTTTAGGCCCATAGATGGTTATAATTTATATATCGATATACCACTGATATGCAAATACTGATAGTATATTGTCGTGACTTCCTAGTCTATGCAGAAATAGAGTGGATGACTAAGTCTATCGCCTCAAACTGTTTGGATTATGAATTGATGCCATGCCAGATTTAAGATGCTAGAATATGTTACCTCCTTTTCTCACATTTATTGACATTCTTTGTCACTGTGGTACCAGTAGTATCTTTTTTTTTTCATGAACTTGTGCTAAGTCATGTATGAGTAGTATCTTTTTTGCATATTATGTGAGGTGTTAGTACTTTGGTATATGCATGCATAGCATTTAACTTGGCAATTTAATTAGCAATTTTTGTGTCAGGTTTCATCTTGTCTTTATTTAATTAGCATCCTAGATTTTCGCACTCCCGTGTGTCAGTAATTTAGGATCTATTGGCACTGACATATTTCTGTTTCTGTAAGTATTATCAACTATCAAACGCTTGCACGTAACTTGAGTTCTCATGTTACAGGTGGAGCATGCATTGCCTCAGCAGTACATCCATAGTTTCAAGGATGGGCAATTCACCACTTCACCAGTTTCACACTCGGGAGCGTAAATATATAGTTATTACTGTTGTTGTGTGTGTTTGGTTGACTCCGCCTTTGCCTTGTTTTTTTTTAAGATGGTGGTATGCTGAGGTTTGTAGCAGTTTTGGGTCTTGCAGCACTGCTGCACTGGACTCGGTCTGCGATTGTTGTTTTTGTTGCCCTTGCTCAGTGCGCGGTGTGTATGTTTCTGCATGCACGTGGTTCCCTTCGGTTGGTGTATTTGTGTGCCAACAAACCACTATACGTGGTGTGTATGTCTTTAGCTGACCATTCTTTGACACTGAATCTCACTATATTTGAATTGATGTGGACGCTTGCTTTTCCGAGTCTCTTTTCAGATTCTTGTTTAACAAAGTGGCAATGGCAATGCAGTTATTGTACTTGAAATCTCGACGCTGTGCTTGGATCGTGAAACACGTACTGGATTACAAAAGGTGGCGCGATACATTAGCCGGAAAAAGCATAAAGAAAAAGGTCATATAAACATCTGCAAAGCTATGAACCAAAAACCAACAATAATAGGGAGCATTGAGGTAGTGCGAGACGATTCAGCAGCATTAGGATGAGCGCAAGCAGTGGTGGTGGTCCCTCTCGACGTAGCCGTCCCTGGCCCCGGCGTGCAGAGGCCGGAAGGCCCAGCTGCCGCCGTCGAGTCCTGCTGCCCTGGAGTCACCTGCACCGACGGAGGCACTCTCATCAGAAGTTCAGCAAGAAGCCAGAACCAGGAAGCAGCAGCAGCAACAGCTTGTAATTGCACTAAACAAACCCCACCTGTGGCTGCTGCCCTGGCGTTGGCTTTAGCGCTGGGGCGGACGTCGTTGGCGCCGGAGTCGGCGCCGTGGCTGGTATCAGTCCGGCCGTGCCGTTCCTGAGCAACCCCGTCGGATATGTCTCGGTGAGGCTGGTCTGGAACAGCCCGAAGTAGCGCTCCGACGCCTTGCCGGGCTTGAGGTCCTCGTCGTACATGGCAAAGATGTACGTCTCCACCGACTTGCCGGGTGCGCGCGGCGTGCCGGCCAGAGAGTTGAGGTGGGACACGAGGCCCGACACGAAGGCGCGCGCGTTCTCCACCGTGGCGCCGGCCTCGTCGGGGTCGCCCTTGTGCGGCCACCCGGTCTCGGCCACCACGATCTCCACGTCCTTGTACCCCTTGGCGTCCAGCGCGGCGCGCACGGCGTCGACCTGCGCGTCGAACATGTTGGTGTACGTGAGCCCGGACCCGGCGTCCGGCCGGCCGGCGTTGGGCTGGAACAGGCAGAAGGCCAGCGTCTCGGGCCGTGGGTCGCTGAGGTACGCGAAGTAGGGGTACGGATTGATAAGGAACGGCGAGCCGGTCTTGCTCAGGAACGCCAGCAGTGGGTCGAGCGCCGCCGCGAGCTCCGGCTTGAACGCGCCCGAGGAGGGCGGGTCGGAGCTCGCGAGCACGTCCATGGCGTTCACGGTGGAGACCTTGACGCTGGAGTTGGGCGGCAGCGCGTCGTACAGGTTCTGCATGGCCGGGACGAGCTGCGAGGCGAGCGAGGCGTCCGCGAAGAGGACCTCGTTGCCGACGGAGACGGTAGAGACGGCCGGCGACGAGGCCGGCAGGTGCGCGGCGACCCAGGCTGCTGCGGCGGCGGGCGAGGACGCGAGGTTGGCGATGTCGCCGTTGGTGGCGCCGAGGAGGAGCGAGATGCCCGTGCCGGCGAACGCGGAGACGATGGCCGGGTCGGTCCCGTAGAGGCGCACCTTGGTGATGGTTGTGGACTGGAGGAGACGCGCGGTGGACGACGGCGGCGGGAGGTTGTCGGCCACTTCGCCGTAGTTGATGCCGATGAAGGACTGCGACGCTGCAAGCACGTGTGTGGTCTTAGCTTAAAAGTTAGACATCTCTTGTAAAATTCCCGCGCTCCAAACACCTCAAATTAAACACAAGGAGTTGGGAAAAATGCAGCGATCAAATCACAAATAAGGCTCGACTTTCAAACTTGACACGTCGAAGGTGAAGTCCCAGTTTAAACACGTGAAATTTTAAAAATGGACTAAGCACGTCTGACAAAACTGGAGAACTGTATCTGTGTGTAATTAGCTGCGGTGTCCGTGTGTCCGTGTCACCGCACGGGGCTACTACATGTCGCCGTCGCCTGATGGCATGTTGACACACCGACGGTGGGCGTGGGTTCGTGACTTCGTGTGGTTCAGAAAGCTCGAGAGAATGCAGACACGGCTCTATTCGGTACGGGCATTTGTTCCTTTCACTGTCAGACAAGGAACGGAGGAAGCCGTATGGAGGAGTCCAGACCAGAGGACAGCTGTAGTTTGATGAGGGGAAAGAATAGCGTAGAGCAACAACTCAAGAAGAGATTCAGCCAAAGGAAATTGGATGCTGCCACTATTTGTATCTTGAAATTGGAAACGTCCAACTCAGATCACGCTAAAGTTCTTTTGGGCCTGAATTTTGCAACTGGCAACCAACATCCGGAGTAGCAGCTCAGTTCAAATTCCACAAAAACAAAAAGGAAAAAAAGAGAGGAGAAAGATACTACTATCAAGTGTTTCAGCAAAGAACAGAGCTCTGACGAACCGACAAGAGTCGGATACGAAGCCGAAGACCCTCACCTGCGAAAGGTAGACGAACGAGCTGCAGGACTCCGAAGAACGCAAGCAGCAGAAGTTCTCTTCTCTCCGTCATCTCCAGAGACCAGAGGTCCTCTGACCCGAGACACAAAAGAGAGAGAGAGAGGTGCACGAACTGATGAGACTCCGCGCGTCTCACAGGCGCCCTGCAGCTTCTTGTTCTAATAAATAACGGGCTTCCCGCGCCCTCGCTTTTCCCGGCAGGCTGCGGCGAGCCAACCCTGGTCGGGCTCGGGCCTCCCCCGGTTGCTTAGCGAGGAAGAGAACAGAGTCAGAGTCACAGAGGTGGCGGTCTCCCTACGTGGCTTTTGCGGAGCAACAACAACAGCTTCCACCTCGTGTAAAGCTCTCGCTAAAACGGGCGAAAAAGCCGATGGATGGATGACCAAAGCGCTAAAGCCCTAAAGCACCCTCCGCCTCTGCTAGAAACAAAGCTCAACTCGCGGGCAGGCTTAACCAGAACAGCGAGCACAAATGCACGTAAAGCGGGTGAAAAAGCCGATGGATGGATGACCAAAGCGGTAAAGCAAAATATTATTGCTAGAAACAAAACGAACGTCCAGGCTTTGTTTCTGGGAGATAGGTGGGGCTGGTATATGGTGGTACCTGGTAGGATAGGATGGAAAGGTTCAGCATGGCCGCCAGTCTAGCGTGCCGTGCTGCGCTTGGACTATGGAATGCCAGTCGGGATGGACTTCTGCCTAACAAGTGGCACGGCGAGCACGCCTATCATATGCAAAGAAACACATGTACTACGTGGTGATAGGTGAGAGGATTACCGTTTTCTTTTTTCTGTTTTCATCTTTCATTCTTTTAGGATAAAAAATTCACTTTTATGTCATATAAGATAGGGTTGCAACAAGAGTCACTATAGTTTAAGCGAAGGTATGACATGCACAGAGAAAATTTTGGATATGGATGAAAAACTTTTAGCTCAGTAATTGATAAGTTTATCACAGCTAGATATAAATGGTAGAGTATCTATTATGCCTATTGTGTTAGATAACTAGCAAATTGGCCCGCGCAAATAACGCGGGTAGCTAGTTTGCTTATTGTAGTATTTAGATATTTTATTTGAATATCCTTTTCACAAATAGTTTCACTTCTTATTTTACAATTTTCTTCTCTTGGGCCCTTTACTCTACCTATTAGCACGAACTCCAATCCGAACTTAGAGCTACAGTCATCTTTCTTGTCTCTTATTTTTTCTATTACTATGTCATGGCTATGCAATTTTAGCTGAGGCCAAAATCAAATAGCCTTCGGTCTCATCTTGGTGAGCTCTATTGGCGATAAAATCAATTTTCAAGTCTTTATCTAGTTCCTTAGTTTTCTTATAGATTTGAATTTGAGATGATCTTACATCTTCTATTATGGATCTTTAGCTTCTTTTTTCCTTGGCATTTGCTAGGAGCCTGACACCATCGTTTGGTTTCCCGTAATCACGAGTTAGTTTAATAGATAACTTATATGATGAGTTATTCCTGTGGTTGTCGAGTAGCAATCCACAATTCTCCATTTATATCTAATTCGGTTATAATATTTTTCTTGCCATATTGGATATGAATTGAATTGAGTTATTTATTAATTGTATTGATACAGATACTTTTATTCTTGACCGTTAGCGTTAGATCATCATAAAATCCAACATTGCTTTTGTTTTTTATTTTTTCTGATTAATCTCATCATTTCTAGGCCTTTGTACTTGATAAAGATATTCTATTTATTTTGGCCCTTAGACCATCATAAAATCCAATGGTGTATATTATTTTTAATTTTTTTGTTAATCCAGAATTTCTGGGCCTTATATTTGACATGAATATTCTATTTGTTCTCGACCATTAGATCATCGTGAAATCCAATGGTATATATTTTTTCTGATCAATCTCGTAATTTTGGATATTGTATTTGACATCGATACTCTATTACCGGTCGTTAGATCATCATAAAATACAACAGCATATATTATTTTATTTTTTCTAATTAATCTCATAATTTACCAGTCTTGTATTTGATACGCATACTTTATTTGTTCTCGGTCGTTAGATCATGTAAAACCCAAGGGTGCATACTTTTTCTGATTAATCTAATAATTTATAGGCTTTGTATTCGACATGGATACTCTATTTATTCTTGGTCGTTAGATAATCATAAAATCTATGATGCATATTCTTTTTTTATTGATCTCGTAGTTTCAATGTCTTGTATTTGATATGATACTCTATTTATTCTTTGCCCTCAGATGATCATAAAATCTAACTATCCATATGTTTTTTTATACTCAATTTATTCTTGGCCGTTAGATAAATTGTAAAATTCAATGGTGCATAATTTTTTCATACTCTATTTTCTTGGCCGTTAGATCATCATAAAATCCAACAATGCATGTTCTTCTTTTTTTTTTCTGATTAATCCTATAATTTGTAGGACCTCTCAGCGAAACGTGGTGGCTTCTTTTAATTCTGCCTAAGCCTAACAAGTAGCACAGCGAGCACGCTTATCATATAAAAAAGGGGTTTTTTTATCGAAGCCATTACAATTCTTTAAAGTTGATAAATGCCATTACAATTCGGGTATTCTGAAACATGCCATTATAATTCTGGGTGTTGCTCTTGCTGGCCATTGTCTACGTATGTGAACAGCTCGGGCCCACTGTCAGGTCGAGGAAGGCGTACGTGACTTCCGTATAGACATCGATGCCCTTCTTGCGTGTTACAAGCCGCCGCGCCCTCTCTCCCGTTCAATCCATCCCCCACCCATGCTCCTCTCCGTCTTCCTCTTCCTTTCCCTAAGAACCCTAACCCTAAACTGTAGCCGCCTCCGGAGACCCGCAGAGTTGCGACGGCGACCTGCGGAGCTGCAACGTTGGTGGTGTCGCATATGTGGCCGGCGCATCCACCGGAGGAGATGCAGGACCCATGAAGACGACGAGTGGTGAGGTCTTCCTACATCTGCGCCGTAGTGCTGCGGCGGAGATGGAGGACTGCAATAGCAGGTAATGTGTGCGCGTCCCCTGTTATTAGTTTGAGCACATAGTGTAGTTGACTTGTGCTTGCCTATTTACACTTCGATTTGGAACTCGTTTTGATTATTGGTAGGAATGGTATGTTCGCGGTAGAGGTTAAAGTCCACGGTTTCGCTACGAAAGACTCAGATGGTAGGAAATCATACACTAAAGGCACTGTGATTAAGTGGGATGTGGAATTTGGGTCTTTAATGCATGAACTATTGGTGGGATGGATTGCAAATGAATTGAATGTGCCCTCTAACCAGTTACCCACAGTGTGGTTCTTTGATAAAAGACTGCATGAGGATGTCAGATTAATTAGTAAAATTCAGATGGTTGATGTCTTTGAAATGTACAAGGAAGAGATGTGTTGTTAACTTGTAGTGGGATTGTTTGATAATGATGCTGAGTTTGATGACCTACAACCTTTATGTACAATTCCTCCTGAGGTTAGATTTGAGATATCCAACAATGATTTTTTCATTGCCGATGAACCAAATAGTTTTGCTGCTAACAATCCCGAGGCTCCTGAACCCAGTACTGCTGCTGCTAACAATCTAGAAGCAGATACTGATTTAGAGCCTGAACAAGATGATGATGTTGATGTAGAGCCTAAGAGAGAGCCTGATATCTTTGATAATCCTGAAGAATATGTTGGAGTTGGTGATGAACAAATCTATATTTCATTTCCTAATGCACAGCAAGCTGCTAATGCACAGCCAGTTAACAATGCTTATGATTCTGTTGATGCTCACCCATCTGATGAAAATGCTTCTGCTAATGCACAGCCAGTTCCTGAAGAATATGATGAAGTTGATGATGCAGATCCTCTTGAGGTGCATGTACTCTATGATCCTGAGAATCCAAACATAGTGAAGGGGGTATTGTTTCCTGATATCATTGAATTCAGGAAAGCAAGTAGGCATCATGCAGTGAAGACTGGTTTTGAGTTTGCTGGGCTCAAAATAGACAAGACCAGGTTCTTAGCTCACTATGCTGCCGAGGGTTGTTCGTGGCGCATACATGCATCTACTATTTTTGATAAAAAAAACAATAAAGGTAATGTGTTCAACTGCTGCCGTTTATGACCTATCTGTGACCTTTTTTGACATGTTAATGACCTGTTTGACATGTTTGTGCAGATAAAAGTGCTTCCTGCATGGCACAATTGTCCTACCACCAAGCTTAGAGAAGGAAAGATGGCAAGTCAGGGCTGGTGTGTAGACAGGCTAGCAGACTGGGTGAAAAAGAATCCAAATAAGGGCCCAATGGACGCCAAAGACAAATTAGAGGGTGACTATGGAATTAAGTTGAAGTACTCCAAAGCTTGGTCCACCTTCTAAGGTTGTTAGAGGTCTGATGGATATGCTGAATAATGGGCAGTAATCCACCTGTAGCTTATTTTATGACTTGGATGTATTTTGTGACTTAGGAGTCTGTGATGTAAATGGCCTTTGTGGCCTATATGGCCTTTGGACCTGAACAAGCGCTTTTGTAATCTAAGAATAGCCTGAGTGCTGTAACCTGCTATGCTTTTGTAGTGCCCTTGTTAATGCTGGTGCTATGTAAGCTGAATGGTATGTCGGAGTAATGGCTGCAAACTCTGTAATTTTGTTGCTTCCAAGTAATGAAATTGCTTTTGTAGTGCTCTTGTTGGCTATTTGTATGAAATGTTCAGGGACACTTGAAATGTAATGAGATGGTTGCCAGCATCGTAGAACTGTCTTATGTGCAATGAAATTGCCTATTGGTGCTGCTTGCATCTGCATCTACATTTTTCTGTGATGGTTGCCAGCATGCAGTTAGCTTAATCTGAACATATACTGAAATGCATATATAGGGCCTCTGTTGTGTGTTTGAGCTATTCTAGGATATACTTGCTTGAAGTATGAAGTATTTGCTCATTTTGCCATAAACTTCGATCACTAATTCTTATTTTATCAGATATTTGGTACCCATTTCAATTCATACCATACGTTCATTTCATTACAATTCTGGAAACATACAGCCACACACACACTCTGGAAACATACACACACTCCTTCCTAACAGAAACTGCTACAATTAGTTCACTTCCACATTGCAGCCACAAGCAAACCAAGCAGAACACCGACAAATCCTACAAAGACAGCGGCTACAAAAGAAGAATCAAGCACAATCTGCATGTTCTTGTTGTCGAGTTTAGGCTTCACTGTAGGCATGTTCTTGTTGTCAACTTCAGACTTCACTGCAGGCATCACCTCAACATGTAGCATCTTTATTTTCCAAACCTCTACTACAACACTATCCAGTGTTTGCTTCACCAGTTCCAATTCTTCCTTCAAATCGGCGCAACAAACACCAGCTGCATCCTTCACTGACTGCACCCTCCGTTCCTCTATTTCCAAGGCCATATACTCCTTCACAGAGCGGATGTATGGGCAGGTACTATCATCATTCTGCAATCGAAACAAAGGGCATAAATCAGAGATGAATCAACACACAGCGAGCACAACAATATCAAAAATCATAACCTTGATGTTGTACGGGCACTTGAGGTACCACTCGCCCTTTGTCGCCGGTTGCTTGCTCTAGATGCGGACCAAAGCAACATGGCAAAAGGGGCACTCCCTTCTACCGCTGGTCGTCGAGCTCGAGCCACTGCAGGTTGCCTTCATGGTGCTGCGACTCCACTTCCCGGCCATGGCTTCAAAGTTGGGCGCCGCCATCGAACCGGTGGTGGTCATGCCAGACTGCTCCGCCGTGGGCTACGACGTTGGCTAAGGCGGGGGGTTGGATGCTGGCTATATTCTAGGGTTAGGGTTCTTGGAGGAGGGGAACAGAGAAGGATGAGCGCAGGTGGCCGTCGCAGCTCCGCAGGTCTCCGGCGGCGGCTACAGTCTAGGGTTAGGGTTCTTAGGGAAAGAAAGAGGAAGATGGTGAAAGCTCTAGTTTGGTTTTGGTTAATTGATAAAACCCTAAGTGCTAACCTAGCTTATCAAAGTGATTATGAGATAGGTAGCACTACTCCAAGTGATGAAGCAATGGTGAAGATCATGAGGAAGGTGATGGCATGGTGATGATCAAATGCTTGAACTTGGAAAAGAAGAAAGAGAAAAAAACAAAAGGCTCAAGGCAAAGGTATAAATAGTAGGAGCCATTTTATTTTAGTGATCGAGACACTTAGCGAGTGTGATCATATTTAGGATCGATAGTCGTACTATTAAGAGGAGTGAAACTCATATCGAAATACGGTTATCAAATGCCACTAGATGCTCTAACTTATTGCATATGCATTTAGGATCTAGTGGAGTGCTAACACCCTTGAAAATGTTTGTGAAAATATGCTAACACATGTGCACAAGGTGATACACTTGGTGGTTGGCACATTTGAGCAAGGGTTAGAAACTTCACCGATGGAGTGTCCGACCGTAGAGTGCAGACAGTCCGACGGTGCCACCGGCGCCCTATATAGAAAAGATAGGGTTTCACTGGAGTGACCGGATGCTGGCCTCTACTGGACCGGAGCGTCCAGTCAGTGACAACAGTGAGCTCACGTCTCGGTCTTGTGATCGGACGCTGGCATGAAATATGACCGGATGCTCAGGGTCTGAGTCCGGTCAGTGCTAACGTAGTGCGCATAGAGGAGACATTGAGTGACCGGACACTGGGAGAGTCCGGTCGAGTTCATGAAATTTTGTGTTTGGAACCTTACTGGAAATGACCAGACACTGGGGTCCTGCGTCCGGTCACTTTCTAACTAACGCGTTCGGTCATCACTTGACCGTTGAGATCGGGTGATCGGCGTTTGAAGTCGATGACACGTGGCAAGCATCGGGCGACCGACCGGACACTGGGGTCCTGCGTCCGGTCGAACTGACCGGAGCGTCCGGTCACCACGTGTTGTGCCCAGTGAAGGGGTACAATGACTCTATTTCATGGGGGCTTCTATTTAAGCCATATGGCCGGCTCAAGCTCACTCTCTTGGTCATTTGCATTGACATAACAACCTTGTGAGCTTAGCCAAAGCCCCCCCCCCGCCGGGCCCGCTTATATCTGGTAGCTTTCCTAGGACAAAGATTGCCCTCACAGACCAAAACACCAGCCTTTTCTGCTGCACTTTGTCTCACTCGTGCGCCCCCAGGAAGAACTTCCCGGTCGGTCACCCATCGCTCCAGGCCAAGCACGCTTAACCTTGGAGTTCTTAAGAGATGGGCTTCCAGAAAAGAAGTTGCAACTTGTTTGTACGAGTATCCTATTAATCCTATTAAGCCCTGAGCCGGGGTGTTACATCCTCACCCCCTGTAACAGAACTGACCAATTTATAAGAGCATAAGTACAAAAGCAATCACCGGAGTGATCAAACCGTCATACTTGAACCCATATAAACCCGGTAGTCAACTGAAACCACGAATGATTTCAAACCAACTTGTATACAACCAAGATCACATTAATTCAACATAACAAGCCACATGTTACATCCATTTCACAAGTAGTTCGCAAGTACCTCATACATCAGAGTACACATAGTTATTACAAAACGAGTTCACAAATAGCGGAAGCAAAGTAGTTTGAGACCATCACACACACTTAGTTCAAATACAAGCCAACACTAAAGTCATATCCAGCAAAAGCAGTAAGATAAGATAACATAGATGATCATGCCCATGATCTAGTCTTCATCCCCAGTAGGGTGGAGACAATACTTGCAGTAGCCGTTATAAAGCACGTCATCTGCAACAAGAGGGAATAAACCCTGAGTACGAGAATGTACTCAGCTAGACTTACCCGTCATAAACCAAAATAAAAGACACCAAGGAGTATGTAAGGCTTTATCAGTGGATCTTGCTAGACAACCTTTTTGCATAAAAGCTTGAGTAACCATTAGCATTATTCACCTGTACTAGCAGTGACTTTTAGCCATTTCCTACCATCTATATTAGCACATGTACTAATCAATCATTTGATTTAGTTGCAAATAATAATAACCATATCAGGTATTTCATGGCTCATCATTATCATCCTCCTCATGATCATCATCATTTAACCATATCTTTACATTTAGTGAATCTACGTTGTCACCGCTTTCGGTCAAGTTCTCACTATCCGGAGAGACGGCGATTGAATCGATTCCTATCCACCTAGAGGGTATTCCTAACACAAACCTGTGCATAAAGCACGAAGGCAGCCTTAGGTCACCTTTGGTACATCTCAGAATCGCGGCTCGAAAGCAGCGCCGCACCCTTAGGGAGTCCACTCGCCGGTGGTCAATCTCACCTCGGACTTACGCCAATAGATCCCGCACATCTTTACTACCACCTGTGGTGCGCGACTTTCACTTCTCGGTCTTCCGGCCTGAGTTGAGCTACTACTCGGCCAGCGGTCGAAATGAGTTATCCTACAAACTAAGTGATAGGCATGTGTTCAACATTACATGAGGACGTCATAAATGAATCGGTCCTTAAACAACACATACGGGATAGATTCACACCCAAGACCTCCATGCCTTGTTGCTGCACCACCGTCATCCCGTCCAGTCTCTTTTCAATATTAACACATGGTTCTTTTTTATGATAGCAATTATAGCCAACCGTGACCAGAGCTCATCCTACATCTCGCAGGTGACAGGAAATCACCCGACTTCTACCGGTCTAAGCATAGCTAAGCATCATTCGATCCTACACTTAATTAGGATTCATAGGATTTTATCTGGACAAGGTAAGGATATAATGCAACAATTGGTTCTAACCAATTTCTATACTTAATGCATCATCAACAATAAAAGATACTCAAGATATTTGTAAAAACATGGGAGACTTAGAATGCTTCGGGGCTTGCCTTTCAGAAAAGAGGAAGGTTGGTGATCGGGGCACTCAAGAACTTCTTCGTTGGCTCCTTCTTCGGGGGCCTGCACCTCCTGCTCCTGAGCTTGCTGCTGCTCCTCCAGAAGTACTGGTTCGAATTCTAGAAGCGTTACTCCCTCTGGAACACCTATTGCATGCATATGCATAGTATAAGAATCATGCATGCACAAGAGATAGAAGATGATGATGAAATGTACAGCCATGTATGAATGAACGCATGAACAAGATGATAATACAAGCTTTACATCTATTTTACCGAGTAGGTGCATATCTTTATTAGAAAACAAGAACGGCACACTCACCAAGTTCTAATAACCTAAGATAAAGTTGTTCATCTTTAGTAAGAGGTCTAGCACCTGCAACTAAAAATTTATCTTAATTAGCCTAACATCTAAATCATCACGTCAACTCATATAAAGCAAACAAGTCATTCACTGCACTCAACAGTTTTCAGGCTGCAAACAACAGCAACAAGTTTGATCCATAACTAGAGTTCTACAGATCCAAATACCCTGATTTAAGACTTTCTAGAAATCTTATAAAATTATCTACAACTTTCATTTAATTACCAAAATCTAATTCAAACTCAAACTAGGTCAAATAGACTAATCTTGCAAAACTATCCGTGGATTCCAGAGAGCAGGCAGTTGGGAGTGCTGTCTTCCAACTGACATAACTCTCAAACTACTAGGCCAAATGCCTTGAAATTTTAACACAAGCTATATAAACAAGTTTTCTACAACTTTGTTATTGACCACATTCCCAGAAACCCAAATTATCATGGTGAACTTTATAAAGTTCCCAGAATTATCCGGAAAGACACAACGCAAGAAATAATTATTAACTTACGTTGTAAACATACAAACGGGCAAGATGAACTTTACTAACTCATCATACATGTTGGAAAGAACACCAGAAAACATAGTGTCCATTCCTAAATAAATTATTCTCATGTCTTTAATAATTTATTTAGATACTTAGGTTAAATAATAAACACATATCTAAAGTGTACATAAAATTCCACAAAAATTTCAGTAGCTTATACATGTCTCCAAGAGGCTACTACATAAATTTCACATCAATTGAACAAGTATCTCATCCTACACAAAAATGACAAGGCATAAAGGCTTAAAATGGCATAAATAGGAAACCTTAGTGAAAAGTGTCAAGCAACAGATTTCATATTTTTCCTAGCATACTTAAGGTACTAGGATGCTACCCACCAAATTTCAGGGTCATAGGATTCCTAGATAATTTACAAAAATTCACACAAGTATTAACCAATGATAAAAGAAAAATCTATAACTCAAAAACCATACATGCAATAACTCTAAAATTTTTACCAGAGATTCTACTTATCAAGAATAGCTCATCCACAAAATTTCATAATTTTTGGAGCACAGGAACTCCAGATATAATTTAAACAAGTTTGCATGTATTTAAAAACACATTTCAAGTTCCTATTTAATTCATCAAAAATTTCTACAACATGTGCTCATGTCCTATTTTTCTTAAATACTACACTTCATTGTGATTCTACCAAAATTTACCTCACTCTATTTGGATCTACCACTTTGGAGATACAAAAATCACAAAATAGCATAACAAAACTGCATTTAAAATCAATTCAAAAATTCTATGAGCTATTGACAGGCGGGTCCCGCGGGGTCAATGGACCCACCGGCCAGTCGCAGCCGAAGCAGGGGAGGTCGTTGACCGGCCACCGCTCAACGACGACGAGGAGTCCGGCGAAGGGGGTGGCACCAACGTGCTCAACACGTTGTCCCGCACCGACGGGAGTAGAAAACGGACCCCCTAGCTACAGAGGAGGAGGTCGCCGGTGGCAATGGTGGTTGCGGCGGCGC